GGTATCGAGGTATCGGTACCGATACCTTGAAAAAGTACTAGGTATCGACATCGATACCTAAATTGTGGTATCAGCCCATCACTAGTGTATGGGTGCGAAAACTAATGTTTCGGATGAAAATGATACGCTATCTCTATTATTTCAAGGGACATGACTCTTATCTTTACCATGGGGACAAGATAATTACGGGAGTGGCACGCCCTTGGATGACGTCAAAGGTTCCGCTGGAAATAGGCGGAGATCGTCTGAGAGACTGACTGAGATATTCAGTCGGACTCAGGACCACGACGAGGCAACACTTATCTTGGACGGGGCCCCCTGACAGACCCGACTCATCGGACCGCCAGGGAACTTTACAAGTGCGGTCAAAAATTTGTGGCGCAACTTATAATCGAGTATCTCCTGAACTATCAAACATAGATTCTCCAACTTTTGCACAATGACTTAGATCTATATCAATTCGTCTTAACAGATGAGCATTTTTTTCAAACGTCTGTACAATAATATATAATAATTCTAGAAATTTCTTTAAAGAAAATTCTTTAATACCAGACCATGGTTTCTACAGATTTTATAAAGTATACAGCTGCAGCAATATCTCTCATTTAAAAGCAAGTCCGTCCTTTTTTTGTAAAGGCGACAGAATATTGAACACGTGTTTTGAGAACATTAACTAGATCTAGTGAAAAAATGTGTTCAGTGTAAAACCAATTTCTTGTAACAAGGTTTACTACTAAAAAATGACGTAGGACATAATTTATGCGTTTTGTAAAATGTGTGTTGGAAGCTGGAAGTGCTGTGAACAATCCTATTTTCCGCGTTGCGAATTGTTTTTAAGTTATGTAGATTTTATTTCTACTACAAAATGTACTTCTACTTCATCTTTTCCAGTTGTTGCACCCAAAAACACAACAATTTAAAACCGCAATTCCAATCTACAGGTTGCACAGTGAATTCTGGAGCTCAAAATTACAAACTAGACAGTAAATGTTCCACTTTTCACTCGTTTGTAAAAGCCGCTCTTGCTTTAAAAGCTATAGGGTTACTTCCGAAAACGATAGATCTACGCCATTGTTTTCAGTCCTCAGGTCAAGTGGTACAGTGCCTGTTCTATGGCTGTAGAATTCTCTGACGTGCGCACAAGCAGCTTAAAACAACTATTTTTTCTCCTTGCGTGCGCAACTTGCACACGGGACCTTCAAGATTTTTCGCCCTTGTCCGAGAAGGCTAGGGGTAGATCTTTTCTACCAGAAGATCAGGGGTGTGGCGGAAAGACTGCAGTAAGAAGGAGTCAAGGAGAAGCAGTGGAAAGGCTGCAGAAAGAGTCAGGAGCCCAGAGGAGGGAGCAAAGGAGGTGAAAAGGTGGAGACGAAAGCAGCCAACAGAATATTGCTAGAGAGCAGGAAAGGAGGTGAAAGGAGACAATTTTAGAGAATAAGAAAATGTTTTCGTCTCAACCCGGATTCGAACCCGGGACCTTTGAATGAGATGTGAACGCCTTAACCTCTAGACCACGAGAGCCCCCTCACTCTCTCTCCCTCTCTCTCTCTCTCTCTCTCTCTCTCTCTCTCTCTCTCTCTCTCTCTCTCTCTCTCTCTCTCTCTCTCAGAGGCTCAATCTTATTTACTGAATGTTTGTACATTGTCCAAGTTTCCGTGGCATAGGACACGATTGGAGTGATGTAGCAGTTCACCAGCCTCAGTGATGTTTCTCTGGTAAGCTACATGTGTAAAGATGATGTATTATATGAAGTTCAGAATGACGGGAAACAAATCTGGCACACTTGCAAGGGCTCGATGTGAAATTTGAGTTCGAGAATGGCTGAAAAGAAGGAAAATATTTCTGAAAAATATGTTTTTGGTCGAATTTGCGGCAGCAAATGCGCGAATAACCGCGATGCCAGAACGTGTAATACAAGGTGTTCTTCATGAAACTGCACAATTGCGGCACGTTTGGTAGGAACTGAAGACGAATGTCGACAGAATCATGATAACGACACCCGTTGTGGCGCAGTTGTTTGACGTACTCAAAAACAACCCCCTCCCCCCCCCCCCCACACACACAGACATACAATAATCTATCAGAATAATAATAATACTGATAATGATAATAATAATAATAATAATAATAATAATAATAATAATAATAATAATAATAATAATAATAATGATAAACAAATTAATAATAATACTGCTGATGATGATGACGATATTGATGTGGTAATAATGATAATACACATGTAACATTAAAACATTTCATAATAATAATAATAAAAAGTATGATAATAATAATTTTAAAAATAATAATATTAATAATAACAATAATCATCATCACCATCATCGTAATACTGGTGGCGATGATGCTGAAGATGATGATATTGCTATGATGATGATGATAATGATAATAATAATAATAATAATAATAATAATAATAATAATAATAATAATAATAATAATAATAATAATAATAATAATAATGATAATAATATAATTTTTTTAAAAATTATAATAATAATAATCTTGTGACTCAAGGTTTTGCGAGACGCTGTTTTTTTTCTTCTTTTCTCTGCAGCATCCGCGTGTTCCCATCGTCGGAGAGCTCAGCACAGAGGTCTCGCCAACAGACTTCTGCCCCGCCGTCTGACCTCCCTCCTCCTGTTTGTTCTGGCTGCAATCTTCTTCCTGCTCGCCAATCTCCGAACTCTGGATTCTGGAGAAATGATGGAAGAGGATCCCGAGCTCAACAGGACGCTGATCTGTCCCCCTGCCCAGCCCGCTCCATCTCTGCCAGACTTGTCCAGGATTTGGAAACCAGTGCCAGCTCTTGCAGAGTTTCTGGCCACACCAATCGTAAACCCGCACCAGTTCAAGTATGTTCACAACCGTCAAGGGATTTGTCAGGAGAGACAAACAAACATTCTGTTTGCCATTCCTTCAGCTCCTGGGAATTTCCGGAGACGAGACAAGGTGAGGCTTTCGCCTTTGGGCGAGTTCGTGAGAAACAATTCAAACATGGCGACCATGCTGTTCTTTCTGGGTTTGCCGAGGTTTGTCGGCGTGAAAACACAGGAGGTTCAGAAAACTATCGACACGGAAAGTAAGAAACACAACGATGTCATCCAGGAAGACTTCACTGATGTGTATAAAAACATCCGTCTAAAAGCAGTGTTTATGCTCAAGTGGGTAAGCACGTATTGCTTCAACGTCACCTACGTCATCAGGGTAGATGATGACGTGCGCATCAATGTCCAAGGAGTTGTTGAGGCCGTTTTCCGGGTTGGAAGAAACCACAAGAACTTCGTGCTCGGAAATGTGACCAAATTTTGGAAGGTGAACAGAGACCCCCTGTCCAAGTACTATGTGTCGCTGGAGGAATACCCGGGCCCGACATATCCACCCTTGGCACAGGGCGGCATGTTGGCCTACCCACTGCGCACTGTGAGGCTGCTGTACGAGGCCTCCCTGAGGGTGAGAGCCGTGTGGCTCGATGACGTCTACCTCACGGCTTTGTGTGCTCCAAAAGTAAACGCTACACTGTTAGGGGATCTCCAGTTTACCTTTGTTCACCCCAAGGACGAGCCGAGCTGAGTGTCTGTAAAAATAAGTTATATTTGGGACATTCCTGTAAAACCTTGTTATATTGGGACACTCCTGTAAAACTATGTTATATTTGGGACACTACTGTAAAACTTTGTTATATTTGGGACACTCCTGTAAAACTATGTTATATTTGGGACACTCCTGTAAAACTTTGTTATATTTGGGACACTCCTGTAAAACTATGTTATATTTGGGACACTCCTGTAAAACTATGTTATATTGGGACACTCCTGTAAAACTATGTTATATTTGGGACACTACTGTAAAACTTTGTTATATTTGGGACACTCCTGTAAAACTATGTTATATTTGGGGTACTTCTGTAAAACTATGTTGTTATATTTGGGGTTCACCTGTAAAACTATGATATATTTTGGGCACTCTTGAAAAGCTGTTATACAGTCAAACCTCGTTGTACCGCCAACATCGTTGTACTGCCAGCCCCGCTTACCGAGAAGTTTGCCAATGTACGTGTACTGAAGTGTACTAAACTACATTACAAGTACATGTACATGTATAGTACTGAAGAGTTCTAGACGACATTACATGTATAGCACTCCTCAAGCCTCAAGTGTTCTAGACTACATTACTTATACATGTATAGTACACTCAAGTGTTCTAGACTACATCACTTGTACATGTATAGTACACTCAAGTGTTCTAGACTACATTACTTGTACATGTATAGTACACTCAAGTGTTCTAGACTACATTAAATCTGTCCCCGCGGTTTTATGCATCCCGCAAAATTTGATCATTTTAAAAATGATGTTTGATTATTTTCCTTTATCATTCTTTGTTAATATTAACAGAATCGCATAATTTCACATTTTTGGGCTCAGTTTGCATAATTTCAGAATTTTTTTTGCATAAAACCACGGGGACAGTTAAAGGTACAAGTATAACACTCTCAAATGTTCTAGACTACTTTACATGTGTACATGTACTACATAATGTATAGTACTCATCAGCGTTAAGCCCCGATCAATTGTGTCATATTCAGATTCGTCATTATGCGAGAACTGTCCGTTTTATCGAACACGTTCCAGTCTATCGTCCAATTTTCTTTCGATCGGGGAGATTCTTAGTCATAAAGCCACCACGTCTCTTTGCGACGACAGCGGTTGGCTCACACTCTAAGTGCTACTGCTAAGCAAAAAATAATATCCAGAAAGTCATGCTTATTTGGACAAAAGGACACAAGATTGGCTTTTATTTAAATAATATGTAGCCTACTTTAATTTTAATTTAAAAGCGATGTGGGCCTAACATGTACAGCGTCTTTTCACCTAAATAAACCTCCTTGCAGGGGTAGACGTCGTCAGTCCCGCCCCAGACAGCTTAGAGTTAGAGGTCTCATGCTTTTCTACTTCTCTCTTTATTTCTCTTATCAGTTTTCTGTTGCATCATGAGGTAAATTTTAAAAAAGAATTAAAAAAATTAAGCACACAAGATCATCTCTACAATGCAGGCTGTTGCAGTAGTCTTAGGATTTAATTTCCCTCAGATATTTGAGGGATCTGTATTTTAAAATAAATTTTTGCAGACCCATGTCTTTAAATAAATTTTACCAGAACAGTGTCTTTAGAAAAGGGTGGAAATACTGTACCGTGTGTGGTGTAGAAGCTTGGACTTGACTGTAAAAATAGTAAATGTGCAACGCGCCGGGTGACCTTGATACACAACTTCACTATTTAAGTTGCTTAAATTTACATAATACATGTGTATCACATCAAATCAGGTCTCTCGCGAGCTTGATCTACTTACTACTTTGCTTATTTAGAAACACTGATTCTGAAATATAATATTATAATATGAAATTAGTTTTTAGCCGCTATAATTTTTATTTTTTTATTTTGTGCCCACATTTTAATTTTAATCCTGAGCAGCGGCAACATTTTAAGTGATTCTACGTCACGACTTAAAGGTCCCCCCCCCCAAACTCCCCAATATCGCACAAAAAAACCAACAAAGATACACAAGCAGCACTTGATTTCTCATCCCTCTTCGAACCATCGCCTCATTTTAGTAGAGTTTTGCGGATACACAGTAATACTAATACATGTATGTCGTTTGATAGATAGATCGTCCAGTTTTCGTATAGTTGTAGTTTATCATTACGTAGTGTAATCGGGACGTGAAATCTAGTCTTAGTTTTGTATTTTTAGGTTGCAAAGTTTAATATAATATTAAAGTTAAAGTCGAAGTTATCTCTATTCTAAAGATACCAAGGACTATTTTTGTCAATAAAGTTTGAATCGCGAGTTTTCTGTTTGCTTTGCTTTTGTTACTTTGTTTACGTGGTTCTTGTTTTGTTTGGGGTTTTTTATGGTAGAGGGTTTTACGGCGCTCGCAACTGCATAAGGTCATATGAGCGCCAAGGGGTGGGTGTCAACAGAGACGTCTTTACAGGGAATCAGACTTAGACTGCTCACCTCTCTAGCTTCAACAGAACAAAGGTCTGCTTCGACTATCAAGGCACCCCAAAATAGCAGGTCACAAGAGAGTGACAAACAATAACATACAAAAGAAGTAGATGTACCGAAGAGGAAAATGACAATAGTAAGGATCAGGAAAGAAAAGGCAGCAGTTTCCTGTTGTAGATCAGGCACAGTTATGGGCATGACCTGAGTCAGCCCAATGCTTGAACGAGAAATGTAGGCCTACCCCCTTTTGGGAATGGCCTAAAGACACTTCAGTCAGTAGCACTGTCCCGGGGGTGCGTTTGGGGTTTATTTCGCGGAATTGGGAGGAGGAGGAGGAGGAGGAGGAGGAGGAGGGAAGGATGGGAAGAGAAGGAGGAAGTGGAGGAGGAAAGAGGAAGAGGTTGAGGTGGGAGTACGACTACGAGAAGGAGGAGGGAGGGAGTGGGAGGAGGAGGAGGGCGGTGAAAGAAAGTAAGTAGAGAAGATGTGGTTGGTCCCTGATGAAATCGTGAATTCCATAGAATGTGCATCCTGTACAATACATGTATACCAATGTACACTCATGTAAAAACTGTTTCTCCGGGGTTTTATGCACCCTGCATAATTGAGCAAAATTTGACTTTTTGTGAAATTTGAATTTCTGATTATTTTCCTATAAATCAATCTCTGTTACAATAAACAGAATCGTATAGTCTCACATTTTTGGGTTCAATTTGCATAATTTCAGAATTTTTTTGTGCATAAAACCGGGGGGGACAGATACAAAGAGAAGCCATCTGGTTCACTCAAAGTATTAATTTCATACTCGGTTTTAAACTGGTCTTTGAAAAGCTTTTGCGTAAATTTACACATACTTTTATAAGTACCCGGGCCTCTAAATAAGAGAAAACACACTGCTAGATAACCGTTACATCACGTACAACATGAACATGGCATTTTTCAAGATGTGCACTGAAACCGAGGATTCCACAAAATGTAATTGTAAGAATGTGGAGTTCACGATCTCATCAATCAGGAGAGGTAAAAAAGGAATAGAAAATGTAAACCCCGTGAATCCTTCGCTTTTTTTTTTTTTAAATGACCATCATCGGGATATGTATTAAAATTAAAAAGTGTTGACAAGATGTTATGGCACTTGCAAAACAATGAGAGAATAAGGTTGTACATAATGTATAATCTATACATATTACAGGTATATTTTGGTGAAACGTCGTCACTTTAGCCGCCTTAGAACTTCGGAACCGCTTAACTTTCGAATTTGAAAAAAAATTACGGTGGTTCAGAATCATAATTTAAAGGGTGCACAGTTTTACTAAGGAGTCTGAAGTCGCTGTAGTTTCATTTAGATTTGATCTTGGGAAAGTCCGCCTTCTAAGACGCAATTGTTGTAAACAAGTGAGATTTCCATTCACAAAAAGTGCGTGCACTGATCCCACAATGATTTGACGATCGATACTTTTGAGTCCGTTCATCAAACGCGAAACCCAGCTAGTACAAGTACATAATAACAAGTATAAGTGCCGAAGATCAGAAGTGTTAAAAAGAGTGTATCAAATGCAAAGATGAAGGAGTACAGATTAGGGTGATAGACATTTGAAAGGAAAGAAGGAGCAAACCACAATAGAGCACCCGCCAACCACCCGCAACACTCCAAAAAAAAACCATGCATAATGTAGGCCTACTTGGCTAAATTTGTCCATTTAGTTCAGTCTTGAACGCCAGTGTGAGGCAGCGTGGTGGAATCAGGCACTCGTCAAAATAATCAATATGAAGAAACTTGCATTTTTCTGCAGGTTTGTGAATTTTTATCAAATTTTTGTTTTTTGGTTCAACACCCTTCATGCCCATTAAAGAACTCATTTCTGTGTGGATTTTTCAGAAAATCGTTGATTAAAGTTAAAGGCACAAAAAATATAAATTTTAAGTTACCACGGACTCTTACGCTAAGGAAATAACTAATCTTTGGCAGCCATTTTCTCACTAATTTTACCTCTGAAAACAGGTGACCCCCACCTCCTTCTTTCGCAAACATCTCGACTTGCATTCAAGAAAATGGATATTTTTTTCATCCAAATAAAGACAATTGAACAAGCTTTAAGATGATACCAATAACTCTACATACCTAAAAATTTACGAGAGCCTGATTCCACCACGCTGCCTCACATAAATGACGTTTTTTTTCCCTATTAAGATTTCATTGGGCGACCGACGATGTGTTTAGTTTTAATAGAGGTATTACGGCGCTCGCAACTGCATAGGGTCATATGAACGCCAGAAGTTTAGAGGTGTTACAAGTACAAGAGAGTAACAAACAAAAAAAGAAGAAGGGGAGATAAGGACGATAGATGTTTGATAGGAAGGAAGAAGCAAACCACACCAGAGCACCCGCAAACCACCCACACCGACAATGTGGAACAGTGACGACTGAAACAAAGCTGCAACGCTCACACACGTCCTCAACGTCACTGGCCCAGGCCACTTGACCACTGGGCCGGGCCACTTGACCACTGGGTCGGGCCGGGCAACTTGACCACTGGGCCGGGCAACTTGACCACTGGGGGCAACTTGACCACTGGGTCGGGCCGGGCAACTTGATCACTGGCCCAGGCCACTTGACCACTGGGCCGGGCCACTTGACAACTGGGTCGGGCCAGGCAACTTGACCACTGGGGGCAACTTGACCACTGGGCCGGGCAGAGCAACTTAACCATTGGGCCGGGCAGAGCAACTTAACCACTGGGCCAGGCAACTTGACCACTGGGCCGGGCCGGGCAACTTGGCGGGTAACTGTGCAGCAACGAGCACATTGTCAAAACATGAAATAAAAAACCCAAACACATGACTAAAACAAAACGGTTTACCATAATTTTAATGCGTACACCTTTGAGGTTATGTTGGCTAGTCGGAAACAAAAGAGGCATACATGAACTTCCAAAAACTAAACAGAGTAATTGTAGAGACAGACGAGGAGGAGGAAGGGGGGATTTGGGGGGAACTAAGAGAGGGGTGGATGGTGGTTCACTAAATATTGACAGATTCTTGAAACACACACACACACACACAGACATCTACAATATATATTATATAATATATACTCAAAACATACACATACACTAATGCACTTAGCAGAGTACTAGCAGTGCAAATACAAACAAAAACACATACACAAATAAACACACACATCACTAATACACTTACAGACAGTGCCAACAAACACACGCACAGAC